ACCTTGAAGATGTTTTTCTCTTCTTAGGAGGTGGTGGACATGTTAAATACTTTCTTGATAACTTTGATTCCTCATATGTTGGAGTTGTTGCAATCTCTTGTTCCTCTTCATCATCAACATGTTTGTTGTTCTTCCAATTCTTGGATGTTAATATAGGCTTCAATGGACTTCTCAATGTGATCATCCATCCTTTTTTGCCTTCTGATGACTCTAAAACATGATTTCCATCCATTGATTTTTTGGAAATTAATCCCATTTTTCTCATGAAATATATTATAAGAATCAAATTTTTTGGGTATGTATAAATAGAAGATGAAAAGGTTAAAAAAGAAGATAAGAGTATTACTTTTTATATTGGAAAGGGAATATATTCTCTTCTCTAGCTAGTTGGAAAAAAATCTTGAAGAGAAAGGAATTAAGAAGAAGAAAAAGTAAGTACTCTTTGAGATTGAATTTTTTTGGACAATGGAAGCTTTATTTAAAAGAAGAAGGAGAAAGAGGATGAGAATATTAAATGAAGAGTGTGAGTTTAATTATCTGTTTAAACAAGTTGTGGTTGTACTGTTACTATTACTTTTTTTGTTACTTTTACATAACCTAAAGAAACAAACAAAAAAAAAATATATATTCCCTCTTTTTAGTCGATCCCAAAAAAACGATATATTTTCATACTCCTCCCTCTATTCTTATTTATATATCACAATTTTAGATTTCACGTCACTTAAAAAATTAAGTAAATTTATCATTGTATGTTCATTTAGTGTTCTCTTGAAATCAAGTTTCCAATAAATGAAAATATATAGTTATTTTGATTAATTAAATTGACCAATGAATATGAATTAATCATTTAGTTTTCATATGTTGGTCACATTCATACTTTCAAAGGATAATAACTCTCAAAGGTAAAATAGGAAGAATAGTGTTATTTATGTATTGATTTTGTGAAATGACAAGTATTAAGGAACATTTATTTTGAGTATAAATAGGAACAAACCAAGTATTTAGTACTCCGTATGTTCCACTTTATATGCTTACTTTAGTCAGCCCCAAAAAATGACACATTTTTATATTTAATAACAATTTAACTTTAAAATATTTATTTTATCCTTAATAAAATAATTTTTATCCACACAAATATTTATGACTTATTTTAGACCATAAATTCAAAAATCTTTCTTTTTTTCATAAACTCTGTATTAAGTCAGACTAATTCATATAAATTGAGACGGATAGAACGTAATATATCATAGCTCTAGCTAGGAAGGGGGAAGGAAAAAAGGAGTCGAGGAAACCGTGACCTAAACAAAAGCAAGAATAAAATTAAAGGGGTTTAAAGGCAAAAGGAGTAATTGTGCCCGTGAGAATTAACTGAATATGGGCAGTGAGTGAGTGTCACAGTAATAAAAAAATAAAAAAAAAATATAAAGTTTTTTTTTAATAAAAAATTAAGATTTACTCCCTCCCTCTGTCCCTATTTACGTGTCCACTTTTGAATTGACACACCTATTAAGAAAACAATTAATGGCATGATGAGTTTATCATTTTACCCCTATTAATTATGAAGTGGATGAAACATTCTACATTTTTCAAAGTAATTAGTCATTTAATTGAGGGTATAATAGGTAAAAAATTGTCCTTTCTTGATTTGTCAAAATGGACAAGTAATTAGGGAAAACTATAAAAGGAAAAGTGGACAAGTAATTAGGGACATAGGGAGTAATAATTTTTGGCTTTATTAGATTCCTTAATTAGTGCCTATTTACTTTTACAAAGGACTTTTTCGATTATATTTGTGTTTGTATTTCGAATTTAATAATTGAGACGCACATAAATTATTCAACTACCATCAAAATATATTTTATAATTATATATATTTTTTTTAATATCTCTTTTGCTTTCGCTTGCTTTTCTCCTCTCTCACCTCCATCTCCCTCTCCACGACTCCACTCTATTTCTCTCTTTCTGTATATCTATATTTTTGACCCTCTCTTTTTTTCTTTTTTCTTTTTTCTCTCTTTTTGTTGCATTTTTAATATTAGAGTAAATAAATATAAGTGATACAAGAGCGAATAAATACAAATGGTAAAGTGAAACTAGAGCAAATGGATATAGCTTCATATATATTTTATTTTATTTTTGTATCTTTGTGTATATTCAAATGGTATTCGTTGATACAACCTAAATTTGCACATGAATACAACTGAATTTTGAGCAAATAAATACAAATAAAGTTAGAGGGAATGAATATTAATGGTATATTAACAAAAGCATACCAGTAAAATTAGAGCAAACAAATACAGTTCCACTTTTTTTTTTGTATCTTTCTATATATACATTTGGGCTATATTCATCAATACAATTTGTATTCATCGATATTACTTCTATTTGTTGATACAACCTATATTAAAGGTGAATCAAAATTTTGATTTTATGGGTTTTGAATTTTAAAATGCATGACTATTTTAAGTATTAATAACTGGGTTTTAAACTTTATATTTATATTTAATGAATTTCTTAATTCAAATATACTATTTGAAAAAAAACAACTGGATTAGATTGAATCCGTACCTAGTCATATATATAATCTAAATGCACGTATGAATATAAGTATACAACGAATATAATTGTCTGACACCTCAAAAACAAAATTGTCAGACATCTCAAACAATTATTATGAATATTAAATACTCAAATTATAATTATAAATTACTAATAAGTCTCAAATTGTTATTTTTGAAAATCTCTCAAACTTTAAATTTTGGATCAATCTCTTCCTAGAAAAATTGGAATTCGGATTGCTTAAACTTAATTTGACTTTTAAGAAGAATTGTAACTAGTGTTCAAAAATATTGCGAAGAAATTAGGTCGAACATATTTATATTAAATTTACAATGAGATTCCATAAAAAGACTTGAATTATTTAGGTTAATCTTTTGTTGGATTTAACAAAAACATCTCATGACATATATGATTTCAATTTCATCTTATATTCATTATCTTGGTAGAAGGCATCTCAATTAAATTAAAAAATAATCTTCACCAACAATGTTTTTTTTTCTCAACAAAAGGAAATAAAAGGTCTGGAAAGGTACACGTGGAAGTTTGAGAACTTTACGTAGCTGCAATATTAAAAATTGCATTACACATAATTCTAATATTTTAATAATAACCATATCTTTGTAAAATAAATTTGCTTAACCAATTAATCCTTAAGAATGTTAGAAACGAATGCGTTAGATGTTTAAAAAATAAGAAAAAAGAATGCGTTAGATTAATTTCTTTTTCTTATGTCTTTCTTTTGTAATTTCTTTTTAAGTTAAGTTCTTTTCTTTTTTTAGTGTCTTTGTTTCTTGTTACCTTTTTATACGAACACTTGTTTTCGAGGTAGCTATTTAATTTGTGTTGTTTTAATTTCATTGATGTTTTAGCTTATAACACTTACTTTTTCTTGTGGTTTCAACTATTACACTCACAATGAAATATAGAAGTCAGGTGTGATGGCCAACTCAGTCATAGCGGAAGCGGTCATGCAAGGTTATCGGCAGACAATGTAGTGCAAGCGACGAATAACGCTTGCCATAAATTAAAGAAGCTCAGCCTACGGCTACGTGCATGCCCATTAAGAGCTATACCTGGAGTCGAGCTAACTGCATAGTCAGAGGAGAACTTTCCTAAAAAGCCTAATAAAAGTTAACCGCATTGAAAATAACGAATCATACTCTAAAAGGAGGTTCCCTCCCAATAGATGTCAGGAGGGAGCAAGGCGAACCAAACTTATTTAAATGCATTAAAACGTGAAGTAATATCAAAATTAACCTTATAACACTTACTTTACGTTTTCTAATGACTCTCCCTTACGTTTAGCCTTATAACACATTTTTAAATTGATGCTTGAAAAGTTAGTGTGTGTCTCAATCATCAATTTATCAAATCAACAATAACTTTGACAACCCTATTTAGCATTTTTTTTAATTTTTCAGGTACATTTCTACTTCAGTCATGTATAACCAGAGTGCATGTAAAAATAAACTAAAATTTCAGTAATGTATGTGTCCATATTAAAACAAAAGTAAAAGGAGCGAAGAAGCATGTACCTATTTCTGACGTGATCTAATACTGAATGTTCATACAAAATAAAATATAATGTGGATATTAGTTAAATAGGGTGTCCCGTGAAACTTTTACAAGGTTATTACCATTTATATTGAGAGTTCAATTGACCATGATTTCAAATAACCAAGTTGATTTGAAGTTGAATTTATTTGGTCATGTGATCTCAAAAATTGTACTTTTCTCATAAACATAAAAATTTCATAATTTGTGAAAACTATCAAAACTTTATCAATTATTACAATTTTATGAAAATGAGCAAACCATAATTTATAACAAGATATTTGAATATCCTAGTCACCATATTAACAAATCACACATATCCATATTCTTTTTATAAATAAATATTTGTGATTACACGTTACAAACTGCCAAATATGTAATTTTTACAAAGGTTCAATTTTATTTTATTTTAACAATAGTAGCAACTAGCTATTCTTCAATAAACCTATGGTATGAACAATCTCTCCACATTGAGCTTTTACTTTTTCTTTTTTTTTTTTACAAAATTTAAAATCATGAATAATTTTTACAAAATATAAATTTATAGGTCAAGTCTTAAATTAAAATTATAAACTTGAAATTGAACTCCTTGCTTTTAAATAGGATTTGAGATTTGAAATCAAAATTTCAAATCGAAGTTAAATTTATATTCAAATCATAAACAAACACTAATTTCAAAGCAAAACATCAAATTTAAGCTTCAAATTACATGGTCGAACACCTACTTAAAATCAACAAACTTTTAATATAAGATGGTCTGATTTACTAACTTAAAATTATATTAAATGCAGAAGGGAAAAAAGGAAATCCATAGACCACATAGTAAATCTAGCAAGTCATATATATATAAACACATGAATGAAGGCTAAAAAGAGGGGGGAAGAGATGTAGTGTACCATAATTTGTTTGTAAATAGAGTTGCAGTAGTTGTAAGGTAAAAGCATATACAATAAATACTCCAACCATCTTTTTTCTATTACATCCTGGAATAACCTTTGTGGTCCTCATATTTCTCCATGAATTCATCATTGAACTTTTTGAAACTTTCCATTATTGCTGGCATGTCTTCTTCAGCTGGCAAGATGGTTGTCCTTAGATGGAACACCCTACATTGTTCACAACCTTACAATCAATCCCACAATAACCTATTTTAACGCGTTGCAAAGTACCCGAGGGAAGAGGGAGACAGAAATGAACGCATTACAATGTACTAACACTATAGGTGTTTCAATTGACCACTTTGCAATAATACTGATATTAATCTAACTTCAGATAGGTGAGAGTAAAAAAAATCGACCATTTCTCATTGGGATCCCTTTGTGCACACTTATCTTAAGGACATGGTTTTGCCCATGAAGTGATTATCCTTCACTTCGCGTTGCTTTATCACTCTAAGTGACAAAGTTAAAGCATTGAAGTGACGGCTTTTAATAACATTGGAAATGCATATAAGGGCATTTTGGCATTGAAAAGGTTTGGGAATGGAGGTAGAAATATGATAGAATAAAAAACTCACCCTTCCTTTTGACCGAAACCTGAACCAGGGACGGTGGAGATGCCAGTTGCTTCCAACAGCCTCAGACAATAGAAAACATCAGCAGCTTTCCCAAGCTTGTTTGCAGTCTCTATTGCTCTAGGAGGCAATCGTATTTGCGGGAAGGAATACATTGCACCTGAAAACATTTCATCACAAAGTTAATGGAAGCTCATGTGGCTTTTCACTGAATAAAAAGCTCACTGGTGACTTGCCTTCTGTGAAATTACAAACAACATTTCTGCAGCTGTTGAAACCATCAGTCATCATGTGTGCCCTCCTCCTTAATGACTCGAGGATACCCTTACTGCAATCAGAATAAAATAATATTCATCATTAAAGAACCAGAGAGTGTGCGGGCGTTTTATAACAGAAAATTATAAAAAAGAGAGAAAAAGAAACTACTAGATTTATAAGTGAATTCAAATCCTTGATCACGGCAGACAGATATTGACATAAATCCAGAAAAGTTCCGAAAAGAGAAGAAAAAAGGATAAGACGGTGAATTAGGATTTAGGATATGTGTGGAGATGTCCTGTTCTGGGAGTTATGTTGGAGAAAAGTGCATTCGTTTGATAAAGTTTAAACGACCACAAAAATTCTAATGGTTCCGCTTATTTAAATATCTCATACTAGTAGGTGACAAAGTTTATTTATATTTATAGCTTTAAGCTTTCTCTCTTCTTCGTTGTTTTAATTACCGTGAAATTCCCAAGGGCATGTAGCAGCACAAGGTATGAAACTCGACAGATAATGAACCCACCCTTCTACCCCTCTCTACTTAAATACCAGGCTTTTATCTACTGCACGTTCGAACATGTGATGTACTTTAAGCTTTCTTAGAACTCACTAGTTTAAAGATCGAAGATGCTCAGTGACCACATTTTTCAAAGTCCATATCCAAAACCCCATCGATAAGAAAAAAGTTCTTTCTTTTTGTTGCACTAATTTCTCAATTCTTAAAAAGAGTTGCAAGAATTTCATGGGCTAGTGTCAGCAGTCATACCTCTCTCTGGCATATTGGTCATATGAGATATCTCCAGGTTTAGGGGGGTTCACCATGAGCCCCATCTGCAAGTATGAAAGAACAGGACATTACTAACTTGGTCGAATGGTATTGAAAAATGATGTTCCTAATTTGAAGCACATAATATTATCTCGGAAAAGACAAGTAAAAATTGACTTACAAATATCTGTCCAGGAACATTTGGACTGAGTGAAATTGAAGCAACCTTGTATATTTCTTCAACAGCCTGGAACATCAAATGCGAAAAGGAAAGGTTTTGTCTTAGGTACATAAGAGTTCAATACCAGAAAAACTGTGTTAGGTGCATAAATGCAAAAACCAAGAAAATCTTACATTGTGAGACTATAATATGACAATAAATTTCAATGTATCACAACATACACCATTGTGAATAGTTTTTGATAAAAAAAATGGACCTTGATCCTAACTCAACCGCAAAAGCTAGTTCAATAAGTGAGGATTGCCCAAGACCACATAAGGAGTCCAATCTCCCATCCTCAACCGATGTGGAACTCAACAGCCTCCCCCCTTCCCCCGCACGCCGAGGACTGGACATCGGGAGCGTGGACAATATAAGATGGGGGATCAACATGGTGTAAACAATGAAATGGGAAGAGCCTGCCTCTCATACCATGATAAAGAATGAGCCTTGGGCCTAACTCAATCGCAAAAGTTAGCTCGGGGGGGTGAGGATTGCCCAAGACCAACTAAGGAGTTCAAATAACCGATGAGGGACTCAACAGTTTCTTTAAAAAATATAAACGACACGATTGTGAATAGTACGAAATGGTCCACTCATAAGATCCAACCTAGATCTCTTTCAAATTATTCTAATCAATTGACGAACCACATCTCAATCATAAACTATTATGACTACTTGAATCATCTCTATCAACTCTGCCCTATTCGGGCAATTTTGGTTACAGTACTAGTAATTTCTATTTCAAGGCATTGGCCATTGGGGTTATCTAGAGCTAGGGAAATTATCAAACTTAACAGTGGCATACAAGTCTTTAACAAGAGTTGAAGAGCTCGTGCCAAACACTGAACCTAACATAAGTGAAACAACAACTAAAGTCTTGATTCCAACTAGTTGGTATCTCATCTATGGATCATCTGTTCCCTTTCTGTTCTTTTTTTAGCCAATGTTCTTAGGTCATCCACATAGGAGAATGGGTCTTTTAAGACTTCCCCAAAATGTGAAATGAGTCATTTATAAGCACTACAAAGAAAAGACTACTATAGTACCACACCAGTAAAACGTGTCTTGAAATCACTTTCAGGACTGGAGCTTTTCTAATTCAAACCATCACATACAATGTGGCACCGAGGATAAGCACTTTACAATAAGCAAGAAATACCAAGTATATTCCTATCCCTACAGTTTTAATGGAAGCTAAATACAAACCTTTGGAGGAATGTTGGTCATCTCAAAGTATCCTCCACGCTGTCCACATTCACCCCAATATCCTTTGGAGACAGTGTGAAATGAGACAAGCTGAACCTCCTTGCTTAATGGTAGTCCCATATCCAATAAAACCTTCATATTTCGTGAATAAAATAAATGAGTATGTAGGATCTAAAAATACTGGTTGGCTAATAAATTCTTCAGTCAGAAACTTTGCACATGTACCTTTCTTGCACTTATGAAGGGGCGCTCATCTTGGTAAATGTTTTGCTGATAAACTTCGTCTCCAAGTAAAACTAAATTTTCTTGGTGACAGAATTGAATAATTTGCTTAAGATTTGCCACACTAAGACATTGTCCAGTGGGATTTCCAGGGTTTATAATCACCATAGCTCGTACCTAGGCAGAAACAAAGAAATATATATGTACAGATTAATGTTAGACATGCCTAATAAATGCAGAGGACAAGATACTTTAGGACATAAAAAGCAAAAGAGTAATTCAGCTATTATTTGCAGCCATATCTAAATGTGTCACATTAAGGAACCAGTCCCATTGAATATCTTTTTAAGTTTTGCCAACTTCTGAAAATATTTGTAGTATTCAGCCCCACATGTGCTCTCTCTTTTATATTCCATTCTTTTTCTTCTCTTGGAGTTACTAGAGGGTCGGGGAGGGGGTTGTGACTGAGGTTACAGACAGAGAAGGCTTAACGTCCAACAAGCCTAATGTCGCTAATAAAACTGACTTTAGTGAATTATACTCAGAATTCACATAAACATGAGACCATATTTTATTTGAATGTAAATGGAAAGCAGAAGTTCAGCATACTCACAGTTATTCCCGTGTATCGTGCCTTTGCAACTGATTGGCAAAGGTCATTGATATCTAGACCCCAGTTTGCAGTCTCTTCAAGGTAGTAAGGAACAAGAGAACCCCCCAATAATTGTATTGAAGCTGAGTATAGTGGATACTGGGGAACAGGGACCAATATCTAGCAACAAATATGCACTCATTAAGAGTATGATAATGCATGTAAAAGATAAAAACCTGGAGGTGTTAAAAGGAGTTGTCTAAGTTAAAAACAAGATATATGAAAGGAGACAAAGAAAATATGAAGAGGAAAATCTTGCTATATATCAAATTATCAGTTACCCCATCACTTGGGCCGCGAATGATACTGTTCAAGATCTGCATCACTCCTTTGCTGGCACCATCTGTGAGAAATATGAGTTCTGGATCACTGTCAAACAAAATAACTAGATATCAGTTCAATAATCAATTTTTGAGAACATCAAACCAGAGCAGGTAAAATGGAATGAGCAACCCAACCTTGGATATCCATCACGTCTCTCAATGAATTCTGCAACTTCTTTCCTTACCCCGGGAATGCCTCGGGAGTCACTATAAGCACCTAATTACCGGCAAATATAGAATACATCATTCCCTCTCTAAGAATCACTGTCTCAAAACTGGACCAAAGTAATATGTGTTGCTTGCAATTGAGTGTCATAACAAGGACACAGACCAGTAGTTAGTGATGGATAGAAAGTCAAGTTTCTGTAGTCTAATTTAGCTTTTATCCACTGAGAAAGGATTAAATGCATAAGCCCAATTTCAACAGTTCACAAGTTAACCTGCACCAACTATCACCTCCCACCCCCTTCGATGGAATAGTAAGTAAGTAGTCCTTTAGGAAAAGACTAGATCGTGATTTCACGAATATAATATAATGAAGAAACTATAAGCAGGAAATAAGAGTAAATGGTGAAGCAAAAATATAACATATCTTTAAAACATAAAAAATGAAAATAAAGAAAGGTATAACGTCTGACATATAAGCAAAAACAATTTCTTGTTTGTGTATTTGTTCAGCCAAGGGCATAAAAGAAAGCCAGGAGAAAGAGAAACATGACACAAGGACGTGCATATGTAACAAATAAAGGTTATCTGCGAAAGGATACCTAGACCTCCAGAAGTCATCCCAAGAAACTGTTTAGCCCTTGCAATTGCATCAGCAGGGAATATGAGTCCCACATTCGGATCATCCAGTAAAAATGGAGCTTGACAGAGAGCAATGACCTGAAATGAGTCCAGCATTTTTACATGTACCAAGTAACCAAACCTCAAGCATGTTAAAAACAGGCAGTTCGCAACTGTAACAAACCTGGCGTGGAAATGTCAGTGGCTTCTGCCCAAGGGCATGGGGGTTACCAACATTGGTGAAGATGATCTGCAGAATAAGTGGACCAATGAGATAGTATATGAGCGCTCTGAAAGAATTAAATGGTCTTCATTCAAAAGATTCCTCAAAACATTAGGATTTACAAAAATAAGTCTCCTGGTCATAGGACTCTTGAATAGATTAATTACTATTATTGTGTAAGTTGTTTAACTGTAGCATCACATCATAAGAGCTTGTAGTATCTCAGGATTATTTAGATGAGGAATTTATAAATTTGTATGCATTTCATGGGATTCAAACAGGTTTTGGCAAAAATCTAGGCTCGATACAGATGACTGGTTCAATGCTTCAAATCTTGCAAACTGCCTAAAGTTAGCCTATAAATTCAGGATGACAAAGATTTGAGAGACAGCAATTCCTCATGCATGTTGGAATATCGAACTATGAGTGACTCAAAGAGGGAAAATGGACCATAATACCTATTTTAAAAGTATCTAGTCCCTTTTAGTACATGATAAGCTATAAAATGTCACCAGGTAGAATCTTTTATAGGAAAAGACAAGAACAATTTGACAACTTATACCTTTTTGCCTTCCTTCTGAAGCTCAGAAGCTCGAAGGTACAGCTCACCTCTGACAGCATATTGGCACTTCTTGACATTTTCGTTCAGATTCTCATAGTCTAATGCCTTAGAAGACATTATAAGGAATTAAAATTTTCCTCTTAGTTCAAATTCCAAGCAAAGTGATGCCCGTACTGGCAATGTAGCAACTCGGCTCAAAACCTACAATTATATGAAGAAACTATAAGCAGTAAAAGGAACAATGACTGCAAAGCAACAAAACATAGTGGCACCAAAAAACCAATGAGAAATGTATTGGTCAACTATGGATACGACATGTGGACAACTCGAAAACAGCACAAGTTTAGTCAGCTCCTAGTCATCAAAGTTCGCTCCAGCAAGAGGTTAGAAATAACCGCGGAAGTCTGCTCCAAATCTATAACAAGCTTACCCTGAACTCGTCATGCCGGAGTAAGATGGTCTTATCTCACAATCAAATATCGGGTCAGTCGACAAATGTATGGATAGGATAAGCATCCAGACTTGCCAACTCTGGAATATATGGGATCCTCTACGGCGGTTACAAATCAACAGTGGCGAATTTATAGCTAAATATGGGGCACGTGAACCCATGGTCTCATCGTAAAACTAGGTAATTAATGTATATATTTTTCTAAAATTAGTACAATATTATTTGTTGGCACCCATGCTACAAGAAGGCTAAATGGTGCACTTGATTGATGTTGAGTTATTTGCCTAGAGGAGGATCAGTTCCCACTGAATATATTTTTTTCTCTCTTTTTTAAGAGGTACAACCATGTTTTAGAAATCCTATATTCACCTCCACAAATCAGTATGTGTTACGTACGGGGTGTGCATATAACGATCATAATGAGGAGCGAATATTAGGAATTAGCTATTCTAGTGTTGTACTATAACTATACTTCTTATCCCCACTTGCATCTCATCTTATTTTTACAACTACTATTGCTTAAATCTCAAGTTGTAACAAGCTATTGTGTTCTTACTCAGATACGTTGTTCATTAGCTAAATCACGAGTTCCCAATAAAATTCTCTTTCTCTCTTGCTATTTTATCATTTACACACTTCTCACAGTTTGTCTAATATCGTTTTAGTCTAAGTTGCTCGGACTCTCCAAAATTGTTGCCGCACCCAAGTCGGATCCTCCAAAAATGCACTACTTTTGGAGGATCCGACACGCACCCATCGGCATTTTTGAAGAGTCCAAGCAACATAGGTTTTAGTCAAATTCATATTATCGGGAGGTTAACTATGAGTTAGATAATTCACTTGCCTTTGACACTATTCAATAAATATAATTGTTAAATCTTTTTATCAATGATTGCAGCGTTCGAACCAGCTTTCGCGCATCTTGACTAATTCTACGGGATACCTGTCACCTCCCACCAACAATAGGTACCACCAAGTAACTCTATCCACCAAGGCTAGAGCTGATGTGAAATCACCTAGTTTTTTTGTTATTGGTCTCAGGTTTGAACCTGAGACCTCATGGTTCTCCCCCACTAAATTTAATTGTTAATCTTTAATCCAGATTTTAAGTTAAACAAGAAAATATAACAAGATTAAGAATACAATTTGCTACTGTTCTGACCAAAACACTCATCCCATTGATTATTATACCAACAACACCCTAATATAAAAAATCCCAAATGCAATCAAACATATCATACACAGGAAAAGTGGCAATCCAATTACATATAATGTGATTTGGTCAATCTTTCGGTAGGGCCATTCATGATTTCAACAACAGCAGATATCAAAAAAGAAAACTGCAATAATATAAACTTGTAACCATAAAATCAACAGTGCAAGTGACCACACACACCCCAAATCAAAATCTACATTGACTAAGTTATTAATCCTAACAAAGACAAATTTAACAAAATTCGCACCCGAGGTGTGACCTAGTAATCAATAAAAAAGGACCAAAAGCATCTTGTGGGCACATATTCACCACTACACGAAATCTAAGAAAGATGACAAAAAACGCCTCCATTACACATACACATAGCAGATGAAAGAGAAAATCTATATTTTATCGATCCAATTAAAACACACAAACAATATGCAGAATCACAAAAATAAACAAAAATTTCAGACACCCATACATCAAAAAATCAAAAAAAAAAAAAGGGGGATGGGATGGAATGACTTACAGTTAGGAGGCAAGTGTTGTGAACACACAAGTCAGTTTGGTGAGTGAGAAGTGCAATTTATTTTTTATTGGGTTGCAAGGGAAAAGGGGATAATTATAGTATATTATTATTTGTATATGTGGCCAAGTGTGAAGACATAAATTCCAAGATGAAACCACAGCCACTGAACAGTTGGTAAAGATTGGATTAATGTGCAAAATTTGATTGAATCACAAATTTGGAGATAAAGCAAATAGTGGTGCTCCTTCAAACTATACAGTTGTGGTTTTGCTTCTTCATATAGATAGATATATATTTGTCCAATCTCCACTCACAACATCACTTTTTTCAACTAAACTAAAAAAAAAGGCCAAAAACTTCATAATCATAATAGGAATTATTACTGTACTATTTGAAATGGAATTTTAGGGTACGTGTATTTAAGACAAAAAGGGAAAAAAATTAATTATCCGTTTAAATTGACTTATTTAAAATGTTTTTAATTCAAAATATTTTTATATAGTTTTGAAGTGTTTGAGTAATGTTCGAAAATACTTATAAACACTTATCTTAAAGTTAAAATAAAAAAATAAATTAGAAATTCTAACTTATAATTTTTTATTTATAAGTTATATGGCAAAAGTCTATTCAAATTGGCCTTTCAAGAATGCGGACACCAACTACAGTGACTGGCACTGTTTTACAGGTGCTTGTATTTGATTGAGCTTCCACTTTGTTGGGTTTTATAAGGCCCAACATGTAAAATTTTCTTTTTTTCCTTTTTTACCCAATTCATAAATCATGAGTTAAGGATCTATTGAAAATAATTTTTATACTTCATAATATTAAGAGTAAAATTTGCGACTCTATCATTTTCATATCTTATTTGTAAAATTATACTTGATATATTTGTGTAGTAAAAGATAATTTTTTGAAATGGGGCCTCAACTTTCCCAATGTTGAAGCACTATTAGGACTTTCGAATGCAATTATCTTGCAAGCCCATGTCAATATTGACTTAACTTTACAAGTTCCTTTTTCTTTTCTCCACTTGTAAGTTGTAATTTACGTATATTGATGATAGTTAAAAATAATATTTTAAATTTTACATTTATATTCAAAATATTTAATAATGAGGTGGACTAAGCAATCTAAAGTGAATATTCATTGAGACGAACTACTCAAATTTCATCTTTTAAAAAAAATCTCTTGGCCCAACAGCATACTTTGTATTTATCGGGCCAAATTTGTAAAATAATAAATAATTAAAAAAAAAGTTGGATGGAACTCCATCATTTTAGTCAAATGAAATTGTTATTAGCCATAACAATAGACTACCAATTCTGTATTTCCTTCAATTTCTTTTTTTAGATACAAAAATATTATTTCAACCGAAGAATATTCAAGTAGGAGGAGAAGGTAAAGTGACATCAGCGTACCCAGACCATTTTTATTTTACTTTCCTTTTGTTATCTATCGTATTTTATTATTAAAGTGGATCCGTGAAGTCTTTCGAAAGCAACATCTCCTTTCTACCTTCACGAGATAGTGAAAAGCTACATCCCACTTATCAAATTTGATTGGATATGATGTTGTTGTATACCTCTCCATATCTACCTTCACGAGGTATACAAAATAATTTTTTTTTTATATGGTCATAATTTACATGATCACTTTAGCCTTATGGTTTCAAGTGTTATTTTCCCAATTCTCAAACAATAGAAAATTTAAACAGAAACAAAGGGAAAAGAAACCAAATTTACTCTGTCAAATGGCTGTAATCATCTTCAATAACAATAATAAAAAGGTTAATCTACATAGATCAATGATTTTAATTAATACAACTCGAAAATTCAGAACTAGTGATCATCATACCCAAAATTCTACACATTATTCAAATTGTTTAGTGTCGCATTACCTCTCAGAAAATCAATTTCTTGGCCATGATCATGAGCAGATTCATCACCAGCAATCACCCATAACTCAGCCGCCATAGCAATTTCTGTTTCTTGATTATAAGCACTACTGTTTTCAAATCGATCACCATTAATTGCAACTTCAAAATCTGAATTATGGGTTTCTTGATTAGCAAGTAAACTTTCTTTCTCACTTGAAGTTGATCCTCCAACAACCCCATTCCCATAATTCATCATCTTCAAGAATTCAATTCTTCTCTCCACAGCCTCTAATTTCGAATTCAATTTCACCAACAAACTTTCGTTCGACTCTCTAAACACGTCATTAAGCCACTGATCTTCACCATCATCGCAAAACAGAGCATGATTCTTTTTCGACTTTTTCTCGAAACACCCATCATCATCAGTTCGTTTTCTCTTGCCGTGAAAGAGATTTTCTTTATAGGATTGAATAATGGGGTTGAAATCAGTGGGATTTTCAGGCCATGTATCTACTTCTCCATCAGGATCAACAAGAATGACACAAGCTTTAATGTCACAGAGGATTGAAAGCTCTCTAGTTTTTTTCTTGATAGTTTCTTTTTTCTTCTTGTAATTTAGCATGTTGCCCTTCATCTTCTTCTCCATTGTGTGCCGAGAATAAAGAAAAGAGACTAAGCTCCACAACAATGAATCTATCTATTTATAGGAAAACAGAGTAACGCGTCAAAATAAGATATTTATGTTTAGTTGTGCACACGGTAGAAAATAAATTTCATACGGTAAATAATAGTATACGTGTTTGTATCTTTCTCACCCCACCCCACCCCACCATCTACTTCTACTTTCTCATAATATTTTTTAAGTTATATTTATAAATGTTGTTTGAATAATATTTTATGTTTATTTATTAAATAATAAAAATTAACTTATTGAAAAATATTTTCCATACCAAAAACACCATTAGTTCATTTGAATTATTGAAGAATATTCAAATTAAGGAAATGAATGGGGTGCGGTAACTTTTAGGGTAACTTTAAAAAAAACAATAGTTTGAGCTTAATTAAGGATCTATATTTATAGTTTGCTTAATTACGAATTATAATTACATGTTTAGGGGAGGAGAGAAACAATCAAGATTTGGGCGAGAGGAGAGAGGTGAGAGAGGTTGAATACTTGTTG